GGGATGCATATTCATTGTCTTGCCCTTTCACCTTCAGCTATTATTTTCCCAATAGTAATTTTATAATTGTGCTCTTTCTAGAGAACTTGAAGCTTTTGGAAACCAAGTTAATATGCAATTCTAGGGAGTTGGATAACTAACTAATAACTAGAAAATTCAATGATTGAGATTGCTGTTTCAAATTGCAGTTGTTCGTGGTGAGAATGCGAGAAGGAAATTTGATTCTATGCCAAAGACGTGCAATGTCAATACTCTCCCAGTAGTTAACGAGCAGTTGACTGCCATAATATGTTTGCAATCAGGTGAGACATCACAGTGCTCTTTGCTATTCCTGATGTATTCATTCTCTGTCCTTTTGCTGCATTCGTTATTCTTATCATCCTCATTTATCTACAGTAATCCGTGGATGGTTGACACGGAAGCAACTTAATGACAAGTATAAGTTGAGGCAGTCAAGCCAGGATAATACAAACTCAAGAAGAAAGCCAGGGAGAAAAATATCAGAAGTAAAGGTAATTTTTTGTTGAGATAATTTAATCTCTCTCACAAGAATCTTTCCTGAGCTGCAGTAGACACTAGCATAAGTGATCGAACCCATTGAAAGCTTGATTTGTCTTCTTATATACCCTTCAGTGCAGTGAAATTATTGATAGCCTCCACTTTTCTATTTTCCTTGTATATACCAACCTTTTGGCGCGAGGAAAAGCAAAATAGTTTGTTGATTGTGACTTTACCTTTGGATTCTGTGTTTCTGATGTTGCAGGTAATGCCACAAGAGCAGATTGAGGAGCTTCAGAGTACACTATTGGCAGAACTCCAGAAGAGGGTTGTGAAGGCAGAACAGAGTTTGGCACACAGAGATGAGGAAAATGCAGCACTAAGGGAGCAGGTAGAAGAGTACGAGAAAAGATGGTCTGAATACGAGTCAAAGATGAAAACCATGGAAGAGACATGGCAAATGCAAATGACATCATTGCAGGTAACCCTCTGGTTGCTTGTTCAGCAAAATACAATTGGGCTTTCCAATCAATATTAAATGACAGTTAACTATAGTCTCTGCTGTTGTTTATACTTTATATCATCCAGCTATTAGTATTCCCTTTATTTAAGATGAAGACTTCTGAGAATTGGATGCTAATGATTCATTCTGCCGTAACTAAAATCATCCTGCAATCTCAAACCCTGGCGTGATTGGTGGGTGACAATGTTAATAGTGGTTCTGTCAAGCATGCATGTAACTAGTGCCCATGTTTTGCAAGAAGTAGAACTAATTGTTTTCCAGCATATTTAAGGCCTAAAATATATCATGTTCAATGCTTATGCAGGCAAGTCTTGCTACAGCCAGAAAGAGTCTTGCTGCTGATAACCTGACTCTTCAGCAACAATCACCTCGCCACTACTATGATTCAGAGGATTATCCTTCCATTGGCTCTAGGACCCCTGGTGGAAGCACACCAAGAAAGATTCCTAATTCCATGCCGGATCTTCGAGTGGCGAAAGAACAGCCTACTAATGGTGCCAGAGCTCATCCTGTAACCACTTTACTAAGGGAATTCGAGCAGCAGACCCAGAATTTCGAAAGCAACTGTAAAGCCATCGTTGATGCGGGTTCAGGGAATTCTTCAGGTTCTATCTTAAATCCTGATGAAGCACTTCGAAGACTGAAAAATCAGTTCGAGATATGGACGAAGAACTACAAGGCCAAACTGCGGGAGGCAAAGCAACGACTCCATAAACTTAGCCATGGCGAGAACCATAAGGGCCGTAGGGGTTGGTGGGCCAAAATTGGTGCCAAAATGTTGACAAAATAAACAAACATGTTCCATGTCCAAGGCGGAAAACATAGAAGAAGAAGAAAGGTGTGCCCTCAAAGATGACTGCTTGCTCTGCCTCTTTGCATTCTGGATTAAGCAAGCAGCTTGCCATGATTGCTGAGAAGTATGTTTGTAGCATGTGGTTTAAACTACCTGGTGGTGGTGGAAGGATTCATCATAATCCTGTGAATAGATATAGGTTGTAGTAGACACCCCTTCTCCCTTTTTTTCTCTGAGTTATAAGCCGAGGTTATTCTCTGTATATCCTGTGTGCTAAATTGTAATGTAAAGAAAACATGGTACGGCTCTGAACTCTGTTGCTGAATGAAAGATGAAAAGTTCCCATATTCCGTCTGTCATCTTCCCATTTGGAATGCATCAATAATCAAAGCATATTAACTGTGACTTCTTGGACCTCTGATCCCTTTTGTTTGAGGATTCAGGGGCTTTTTTGGATCATGGATTGTGATTGTTCCAGAGTTCTTCATTTTGCAACAAGAAAAAATGGTACTTCACTGTCCAAACCATCTCTCAGTCTCCAAATTGGTATAAAATAGTGACACATAGAAGAAGGAAAGGAATTGGCAGAAAAGTTTTTCCAATTTACATCAAACCTCCATAGGCAAAGATTACGAACAAAAGGTGTTCAAAGTTCCTTTCCTTCCATTCTACAAGTGGCAGGGGAATCTAGGGCAAATTGGTTTTGCTGTATCTTTATGATCCAGGGACAAATTTGGTGGCAAAGACCCAAGCATTGTTGGCAACAGGGTCATCAAGATGGTCCAAGAGATTCTCCAAGGGACCTTTCCCTGTGACAATAGCTTGAACAAAGAAACCAAACATGGAGAACATGGCAAGCCTGCCATTCTTGATCTCCTTCACCTTGAGCTCAGCGAAAGTGACCGGATCGTCAGCGAGCCCCAGCGGGTCGAAGTACTGGCCACCAGGGTAAAGCTCATTGCCTTCTCCAACACCAGGCAAGCCATTGATGCGGAATCCTTCCACGAGTCCCATCAGGACGACCTGGAATCCTAGCACAGCAAGGATACTCTGAGCATGGACCAGGTTTGGGTTTCCCAGATAGTCCAGCCCACCTTCTGAGAAGATTTGGGCCCCTGCCTTGAACCAAACTGGCTCCTTGAAGTCCACACTCACCCATTTCTCCAGAACTTCTGGGGTGATGCAGCCCAAGGCTCCCAGCATTGCCCACCTTCCATGGATAACCTGCCAGCCAAGGTAAAAAAAAAAAAAACCCAAGCAGTAAGTCTCACATTAGTAAACATGATTAGAGCCCTGCTAAGTGATTTATTATTGATTAATTACCTCAAGAGCCCTGTTTCTGGCGAAGGCCTCAGGATCAGCAGACAAACCAGCAGTGTCCCAGCCATAATCACCAGGGAATTCCCCAGTTAGATAGGAAGGAGTCTGAGCTGAGAAGGGTCCCAAGTACTTCACTCTGTCTGGTCCATACCACAAATCATTTCCCTGTCAACACAATTAGCAGTTCATCAAAATCACCACAAACCCAATTGAGCCGTGCTCATAAGGGGAATTGATACGAAAGAGAAAAGTTAAAAGTACCATGATGTACTTGGGATTGCCCATGGCGACCACATCTCTAAGAGGGTTGGCATTTTGGCCCCTCTGTCCTAGAAATGGAGATGGCTTCAGCGCGGTATTGGAGGAGGCAGCCATAATCGTGGAAGCAGCCATGGTTCAAACGAGGCTCTTGCTCTAGAAGGCTAGGCTAGGCTATGCTGAGCTCTGTGTTTGCCACCAAGTGAGGTTTCGTTTGAGAGAGAGGGATTTGGAGCTGTGGAATGGAAGTGGGTAGAGACTCTGTTTTATATATGAGATGGGAATTGGAGAATCAGAGGTGGGGGGAAAACTAGTGGCGGAGAGAAAGGAGAGGAAGAGAGAGGAGTGTGATGTTGAAGGGGGAAGTAGCCAATGAGGAGGCTGCAAAGGATTTTGAAGTATCTGCCATCTCATCTCCTTCTATCCACATATTTATCTACACTGTCTATTTCATACCACTTAGATTATGGAGATCAAGGGGGAAAGTGGAAACAATAAAAATCAGGATATTTTCCATTAATATTTGTTGGGAACTTGTAGAAAAATATCCATAACTATTGTGCATGTTTATCGAATCCGACGTAATCGAGTAGAGTAAAATTTAAACTTGAAAGATTTTAAGTGGGGATGATTAAAACTCGAATCTGAATATTGTTGGTAGTAGTATTCATGGTTTTTTCACTACCCAACCCAAACCTGCCCGATTATATACATACATATGTATTTTATTAAGAAATTATCATTATTTTTCTCAATATATTTGGTATTCACCATACATTTTCTTGAAATTATGTTGTTTTTATCTAATTTTTTTCATTATAGTGATTGATTGTCGTACTTTTCCACAAATGTAATATTAATTTACGTGTAAATGTTAATATGTTTGTTGAAATTATAAAGAAAAATTGGATAACTGTGAATATCGGAGACCCGAGGTATGGACATAATTTTAATTTCCGTCATAGTTAGTAAATACTCCGTTTAATACACGTATATGTACCCGTACGTAATTTATCCGTTTAAAACTTCCGTATCCGTATTTTTGTCAAGCCGTTTCATTTTTGTCCGTTCATTTGGTGGCTCCCGTACTAAACACGTATAAAATCCGTATAACACGTTTTATATCCGTATTTAATGAATTAAATTGTTAACTTTATTATTATTTATATATTTATTTATTTTAAAAAATAATTTATTTTATATATTTATGACTATTAACGTACTATTAAACATAACATTAGCTTAGAAATGAAGTAAAATACCCGTACGTATTATATCCGTAACTTTCCCGTACCGTATTTTACTAACTATGATTTCCGTCCATAATACTGGGCCTGGGGGAAGCCCAGTCCTTCACGGCCCAAAGGAAACCGACACATCACAGTTCTCCCGCTTTTCAAACCTCCAATACCCGCAACGGTCGAATTTGTTAGCACCCCGAACGCTGCATTTCACATGAATCAATCCCGTCCGCACAATTCAATGGGTCCCGCCGGATCTCATTGAAACCACACAAATCCAACGGCCGCGGTTTCATCCTAACTAAGACACAGCAAATTACCCAAAGCATAAGAATAAAACGGCGCCGTTTGATAGCTGTTTGACCGTCTCCCTCTCCCACCACCCAATTTCTGTACCGGGAATTCCCCCTAAATAGAAGGAACAGAAAACCAAGGTAAGGAGCCCATCGGCGAAGCGTCCAGAAGAAGAAGAAGAAATGGAGGGAGAAGGATGGACGATCCTGAATTCTGCATCTCCAGGTAGCTAAGAGAGACTTTTCTCCCGAGTTCACCAGTTTAGGTTGAAGAATTTTCTGGGATTCAGAAGGAAAGGAAGACGGAAATGGCTTCTAAGAATGCTAAAGATCACTGGGCGTTTCTGGTAATTAATTCCTCCTCGAAACTTCTCATGCGAGCAAGCATTCCATTTTCACCGAATACTTTTTTCCTGTGATCGCGTCGCAATTTGATGTCTGTATCCGTAGATGGAAATTTTCCGAGCTTTGTTTGTGTTCTGTGTTGTGCAATAGGCTTCTCTTAGGTCCTGTTCTCGTTTTCTGCTTGAATTAGGGTTAGACTTTTGGACTGTGATATCACTGTTTGCTCGAATCCATAGGTGCTCTCTTGTTGAATCCGGACTTCTGATTCCAACTAGGATTAGTGGTTGTTAAAGTTCAATGACTTCAAATATTGATTGTGCTTTCGTGGAATTTTTCACTGTCAAGCGCTTGTTTGCTTGCTAGTACTGGGAGCTGATTGTTCATTGTTGTAAAAATTAAAATCGCTGATGGTGTTGGCATTGCTTAATGATATGTGTAGGAGGAGATTGAAGCTCCAATGTGGGTAGATCTTGCTCAAGAAGCTGATTATAGTGACAGGTGATCTTCAGTGTGATTGTTCACACTCGAGTTTTCCAGATTCTCTGGTTGTTTGCAGTATTGGTGAGAGTGGTCCAATTTCTGCTACTAACATGCCTCACTTTTGTTTTTCTGGGGACCATACTGCAGCGATGACCAATGGTTTCAAATCAGCCATCAGTGAGTATCTTCTTAGCTTGACTCATTTGTTTATCTCGGCTTGCGAACTGAACTCTTTCTAATCCTAGATATCTACGGGACTGCCTCGTTACGTAATATGATGCACAGGTTTCACCAGCTGTCTTCTAAACAGTTGAAAGCAGCATTTAGACATTGCAGCAATGAAGAGTTTGGCTTAGTAGGACAGTCTTCACCACAGCTTCCCTCCTCGGTATCACGATCAAGGGGCAAACACCTTGCCGGAAAGAAATTTCAGAAGGGTAGTCATGACCTCGTAATGAACAAGCAACATCCAGTAAAAGCTTTAAGAGGGAAGTCTTCATTAGTGAACTCAGTTTTGGATGATGTGAGAAAGCCCAAAATAAGTGTTGTAAAGTCTGGAGGAACTTCAAATTCGCTAGTGAATTCGGCTTCGGAGAGTGCTTCAACTGGTTGCATCAAGGAAGGCAATACACTTCCTCTGGGTAATGGTCAGCATTCAAAAGATGGCTCAAGTTCTGGGGATAGAGCTGGTGAATCCAATACGAGTACCCTTACATCTGAGACTTTTCAGCAACCTCACAGAAGGCACCACGAGTCATTTAGTCAAGCATTAGGTAACAAAAGCAGTATTTTAGCTGAAGTAAGGATCAGCCTTCGGAAGAGTTGTGTTAGAAGACAAGCAGCAAGGGTGGAAACGAACAATGGTTCAATACAAACTACTAATCGTTGGTCGTTGTCCAACAAGTCTGGTGTAGGGTCTTCTTTGAATCCTGGTTTCAATCTTAACAGTGAAAAAAGTTGCAGGCCTTCATCCGGAAAGTCTAGTTGGGGATCTTCTTCTAACTCTTCTAGTGATGTTATTGGCAACAGAGTTCGTAAGTCTTCGTCAGCCAAGTCTAGTGTGGGATCTTCTTCCGTTAACCCTGGTGATGATGTTAAGGACAGTGAAGTCTGCAAGTCTTCATCAGACAAGTCTACTGTGGGATCATCTTCAAACCCTTGTACTTACAATGAGAGTAAACCAAAGCGCAGGTCTTCATCTGGCATGTCTAGTACAGAATCTTCTTCAAAACCTTGTCCTTATGTTAAGAGTAAACCAAATTTTAGGTCTTTATCTAGCAAGCCTGGTATATCATCATCTTCAAACCCTGGTGCTGATGTTAAGTTTTCTGGTATCCCACTCCTGCGGGGCAAAGAATGGACTTCAGATAGCAGAAATGTGGCAAGTAACGGCATGGCAGCCATAAAAACAGTACAAGGTTCTAGAATTTTGAGGGATTCTTCTAACATTCAGCTGAAGGATGGGCCTCGCAATACTAGATTGGTAAACAAAGTTAATCTAGAAAAGTCGTCAGCATACCCACAACATACCAAAGGCAAGGTTTGTGAATGACATGCAACATTATGCATCATTTACCGAATTCCTTGTTATTCTGTTCAGGTGCCTACAGGTGTAATATGGGATCTGTTTATGAGTGCTAACAGACTCCTTGCTGATTGGTGCTTGGATTCAAATTGTTGCTTCAATTCTATCAGCCTATCGACCAATTGGAGTTTATTTAATCATGCAGGCTCTTATTCAAACTGCACCTATGGAAACTCTGCAACTGCATCGAGTTAATGGAAAGGGCTTGTTAATTGGTGCTGCAGCAACACACCAGAAGCTTGGCATAGCTGGGGCAAATAGGCTGGTAGGCACTGGAAAAGAGAACGACAAAGCAAGAACCTGCAGAAAGCCGAAAGGCAGCGTTGTTGAATGTGGAGTTTTAATGACCGGCCAGTCAAAGAAACCACTCAACACAACGAGAAAAGGAGACATAACAAGCTTGGATAATCCGAAGGTATGATGTTTTGTATATCAGTAGATGCAAATAAGGCTCGATTGTTCCCTGATGACTTGATTGGATTTGATCTCCATGTATAATGAGAATTGCAAGAACTTCATCTGGTCCCCATACTGCACATAACAGAAAGTAGATCTTTGTTCATGTGTTCTACAGTAGATGTAGGAAGTCTAAAATGTGTTATCTTAGCAACTACAAGGAAATTACTCATGTTGAAGAAATCCATCATTAAGTAGACTGCTCTGCGAACTATCATTTCTGGACATAAGAACCGGAACATTCGGACCCTCCAACTTCCTGTTGCTCTGTTTCTTGTCTCACAATGCTGTAGGCTGTAGCTGTCTACCATACTGACTTGTTCAGTTCTTTCATTCCTTTTCCTGAAACCATTGTATTTATTTACCTGATGTGCGGTTTTTATCAGGGAAAACCTTGCAATCATCCAATAATGGGGAAACAACGTCCAGTTGCTACAACTCAGAAGCTCCACTTTCGGTAAAACAGGTCGAGGGACTGTGTGCTAGATAGAATTAACTAGCTTGTACATATACTACTCAATGTCGAATTTCTTCTAGGGTTTCAGTAGTCTTTTTTTCCCCCTGCACTTCATGGCTTAAGAAAAGGGTAGAAGAGTAGTTAACTGGGGAGATAACTGAGGATGAAGAGGTAGTAGTGGATAACTGGGGAGGTTGAACAGGCAGACGTCAGGAAATTTTTGGGTCCTGGGCTGGCTAATGATATTCGTTCATTGTGCCCTCTCTTTCTGTGCAAGTATTCTACTTAAAGAAACTCTATGCAACTCTAATGAAGTTCCAAAGAGTCTGAGGTGAAGACTGGTTTCCACCTTTCTGTCTAAGCTCGTTCGCAAATCATATGTGCAGATTAACGCCAAAGCTCGACATATGATATATCGAAGTTGTATTTCTAATATATGTTCATCGTTGATTTGCATCTAGGTTTATGTTAATTAACACTGCTTGGTGGAGACAAAATTTTGAGCATAATTTGTTTGGTTTCTGCCGGATACAACATTACTAGCATTAGCAAATGTGGGGCATCCTTGGTTTTTACCGTTGCTGGAATTCGAGCTTAACACTTAATAAAATCTGCTAACATTCGATTCCCACAGCCAGAATTTGCAACAGGAGTTCCTTCGTGCTTCTCGGATTTCACCTTCTTAAAGCGCCATAATTCCTCGTTACCTGCAAAGCAACCAGCTCAACGTGTATCATCTTAGTAACTTATCCATTTTGCCAGAACTATGAATATCAGCAGATTGATTGTCCCTGTCAGACGACTAATAAATTCTTAGACAGGAAGGCATGGAGAGCATGACTAACCCTTGTTTGGGACTTGTTCAATAGCTTAGCCCTGTCACCTTCATCATCATCGTCATCATCATCTTTGCTCATTAGCATTCTCTTGATCCCTGCAGGGCTGTCTGCTTTCCTTCCACGTTTTGATGTTGCAGTCCCTCTACCCCTTCCCCTTGGTGCTGCCGCTCTTTTCCGCCCTTTGCCTCTAACCGGTTCATCATCGTCCTTTGCAGACAAAAATAAGTCAGCACAAAATAATACAACGATTCCAAGAGAATTGGCTCAACCGCAAGATACCTAGTAGTGAAGTATGAAACTAGACCAATTCTAATGCTCCAATGCATAGAAATGACAGATGTTTGTCGCTTGTCGTACTACAAGTTTGAAGTAACAAGAACCTATCGGTATACCTCACTGTCGTTAATTTCATGCGCTTCTGCCTCTTCACTAGAAGCATCATCCACATCTTCATCCACATTAACAATGCTTCTCACTGCAGCGGCTGTGGCAGCTGATGCAGATCTGCAGCAAGTAAACAAAAAATTAAAGGTAAACTAAATGTTAGGATCTTTCTAGGTACCCCAAATGTAACTCTTAGAAAAGTATAGCAAAAATTAGGGAGCATGAACGAAAAATAAACCTTTGTGACTGCCGAAAACCTAGAGCAGAATCAAGAGTTGTCTGCTTCATACTACTTGTTGAGCCTCTGCCTCTCCCCCTTCCTCTAGTGGAAGTTTTGCTCTTGCTGGCTTCTGAAGCATTACGAGTAGTACTCCCTTTCCTACCCCTAGCTGTAGACCTTGCCCCAGACACCTGGGTTGTTTCTTCATCATCGCTAAAGGAAATAGCACTTCCCGTTCCTGGAGCAGTTGTACTTCTGAAATCCTGTATCAACAAGGAGTGAAGTTGACAGCCAAAATTGGATTTGGAAGAAAGAGCTAAATCTGAAAAGGATCCTAGAACAGCAGAGTATAATTTTTCATTATTACCTCCGTTGACTGAGCGCTAGTTGTGGACATTAGATTGTCATGCGGCTGCTGAGACCTCGACTTTACACGTTCCTATGGCAAATATGTTCCAGCATCATCATGAGATAAAGAAAATAGAATCTTTTATAGCTTTATTAGTTAAGCCAGGGATATATAACAGCAGATCAGCGAGGACAGCAAAGTCATAGGTTATAAAATTTATAGAGCTTCCTTGCCTCTAAGCATTCTCCAACTTTAAGAATGAGATCATCCTCTTCAAATTTTGCACCATCTGTATCCTTCGCAAGTTTACTCTGTGTAACCAGCAAAGCATATCATTGTAAGTATCTTATAAAGATAAGGATAACCTTGTGGATGAAGACTATACAGACAAATTTTACCATGACCATAGACTCTGAGCATTATGGCCTTAGAAATGATAAGAAAAAGATGTTAAGGGCCATATTTCCAAAATTGAAAAATGAGCAGGGATGATACATACACGTGTTTCTTGGATATTATGTTGCACGCATGTATAGAAAGCCATTTTGTCATCTTTATTAACAAAATTGTGCAGTGCAACATCCAAGTCATTGACAGGAAGAATCTCCATTTTCTGGGGAAGAAACGAAGATATAAGTCAGACTACCCAAACTACCAAATCTGTAATTCTTCACACTTCGCGTCATCGATCTCAACCCAACAGTGAAACCCTTATGGAATAAGAAGATTTTCATTAGCAGATGCTTGAAGTTACTTCTCATAAGTCTTGGAAATTTATGAGATTAGGAGAACAGATATGACCAGTACATTATAAACATGAAAGGAACCGTAAAAAATGGTGGCTACTTACCAGATTACTTTCAGCTACTAGGGCCTCTATGTTTTGCTGATTTAATTCTTCTGGGCGAAGGCGCTCTGCATCGCTAATTACAGCTGCAGTAGGTAAATACAAATATGTTACACAACCAATAAAAACTCAATTTGATATAAAAATATATCTGAGAGAGAGATAGTGGCCCACAAAACTTTTTCTTCTTTTTTGCTTTTAATGTGAATGTACTAGCCAAGAAATCCAACACCAAAGAGCACAGGAGTAGCTGATCAAGTACCATAGACGCAACCACAAGAGGCCAGCAAGCCAAAACTGAACAATAAAAACAAGGAAATGAAAGATAGTTACATTCATTTCGACCCTTCTTGGAAGCCTTTGAGAATATAAGAATATCTTGAGGATTAGCAACCTGAAAAATATTTAGACCAAAAGAAGTCAATGCTCAGATGCTTGCTGAATAATTGAGCAGCAGCTAAAAGGCTGTCGTTACCTTTCCAACATACTTTTGCCCAAATCGTTGAGGGTTTATTGTCATAAAGCCTGAGTAATCCACCTGCAAAAGTAGCAAAAGGCTCAAATGACTCATGCTGCTACCAGGCGTATCTTACTAAGGCCTCATTTTCCCCTGATTTCTTTCAGAAGAATGGGGTGAGAGGCTGTTCAGTAAGGTGGTCAGAGAAAGAGAATTTTGCATTTAGCAGTAGATTATATCAACATTTGTCAGCAATTCCACTAAGCAATGGACTGTAAGGGAATCAAAAGTTCTGCAATGTGCTTTGATAAAAGATGGGGAGAAAAAATTGTTTCACATAAACATGTATTGCGGAACCCATATGTACGTACTGCTTAGTGGTTATGAGCTACACATAATGTAGATGTCTTCTAAACTTGGTTCAATGAAATGAACAACGTGACAAGAGGCAAGCTTACTCATGCTGCATTATAAATTGTAAGGCAGGACCAAGAGAAACTAACAGCACCTGAAAGCTCTAGGTAAAGGTGCTGGAATTCATTGCATACTACAACACCTAGACTAGATACATGCAAATCTTCACCTTGACTCTGACCAGTGGGAGCTTGAGCTCAGATCTGCTAGTGGCATTTCGCCGAGACTTGTCTATCAGATTACTGACCTGGAAATTTTCGGAAGTCAGAGTAATGTAGTTAGCACAGTTACCCAAACACATTCACTGCAAGAACAAAAGAATCATTTGAAAATAAAAAGGAAAAGAGGGGAAAGATCACTGTTTCTTTGCAACGTTAGAAGACATGACATACCACTTTGTCCAGATGTTCCAGAATTGAGTTTTGGTCATTTGGACTGATATCCGTTTCTTCTTTCAGCACGATCTGCATTACATGGAAGAGCAAATTGCAAAATGTTGTTTATGGGTAACCAGAAAGGGAAACCTTCATCACATTACCTCAGTGTACTCAAAAGGCCTCACTGATGTCAGAGGTATCTTGGTTGGACGATATTGATTTCCCTGAATGATAAAAAAAAGGCAGTATGAAAAAACTTTAGAGGTACAAATTCTGAATCTGCATATTGAAGAAAATGAAAACATTTTCCACTCTTAACACCACCTTAATTTCTAGAAGCAGAACATGCTTAGGCTTTGATTCTCCATCAATCAGTGATGTTGCAACAGAAGACCCCGGTTGTGTGATGTGAAATCCCATGCCTGGAACTTCCTTAAGAAAATAAAAAGTTTGTTTCCAGTCAGTTCGGAAATGAAAATACTTGAATTGAGTGGCATGAAGATCTGAGAATGCCACCTGTGGATCAACAAGACATTCATGTTCATGGCCCCATACAATGAAGTCCAGGAACCTGGGCAGAAAGTGCTCATTTATGGCATTCTTTGGGTTCGTCTTCACCCTACAGATAACAGCAGCTGCTAAGTTAGTTTCTGAGGAGGGTTTGAGCTAATATAGTTATCCTGACTTCAACCCAACAAAGATAGAGAACATGAATTTTTTATTTTTCAACTGTGAGCTCGACGAGATGTATATATGCAAGACTATATGCAAGAGAGAGAGATTTCTTCATTCAGGCATGACGAGTACAAATAGTGCACATAACCACACAGGGATTGACAAAACATGCAAACAGAAGCACGCCCACATTAAGACAGAGCATCCTTATGAGCTTCAGTGCATGGAACCCAACCTGTTCTGATGAAGTACAAGGATATTAAACCAGTCCGACACCTCGCAACTTTCTTGAACTTCAGGCCTCATCCATTGTACAGCATGTGGAGTCTGAAGGATTAAAAGAAGACCTAACACTTTATGGTAACCATACTATTGGAAACTGAAAAAGAAGCCAAAGTTGTAATATGACTCACCTGAAACATCCTATTCAGCCGCTCGTCCCTAATATTACCAAGCCCATACAAAGCAACATTTGTCGAACCCTATCAACGGATATCACATTTAATTGATGCTATAAGGATGAGAAAAGGAATACCACTCTTGTAGGCAGCAATAAACACATATTGACCTTTTTCATTAGGATTGGATACAGTGTGATTTGACCAACCCCAGAACCCTCAAGAATCATTTTCCCAAAGTAGTTCACGAGATTGCAGGCTGACAGGATATCAATTGCAGATAGGTTGTCCTGTCACGGTGACCAAGAAAGCTAAATAAACAATACTTTCAGACAATAAATTTATACAAACATAACATGTAATCATTTAGAGAGATAACGATAGACTAATTTAGCTTAAGCTTCACAACCAATATGTAATGTTCATTTGACCGTTGAGATCAAAGTAGCAGCGGCACAAGTACATCTAGAGAAAAAAAAATAAGGCACACCATAATGCGTCATATACAGCCAACTAATTAGAACAAACTAAAAGTAGATGCCTAGGGCCAAAAGCAACATGAATAGATAAACAAGATTTTTTTTACAAAGAACAGATAAACAAGATGATGATGCAAAAGTTAACATCCAACTTGCAGTTTTGGTTCATCAAAAACAAAAAATGCATCAAGAAAGGTACATACCACACCAGCAGGGTCATCATGATTTCCGTGAATGCTAAACACTGGAAGACCAATATTGAAGTGTGGATCTTCATAGTTTACGTGGCCAAATCTGTCAATTACCAGTAGTTGTAGTTTGGCAAGTTTGAAATCAAGGTTACAAGAGCAATATGCATGAGTATGAACTCCAGAGGTTAAGCTAGACCTATATTCACCTCCCTTAGCAAATGATGGGCATAAAATTCCATTTCAAATGAAACAAACAAGAGGAGGTATGAGCAAAATATATTCATTAAGAGTTCAAGGGAACTAAAGAGTAAATAGGTTCTCACAGATTCGCAAAATTTACGGTCTGATCGCTGACAACTTGAAACTGCACTGGTCGATCATTCAAACAATGCCGACGGAGGATCTCAATGGCCTTAACTAATGTTGTTCTTGAGGGCTTGTTCTCATGAAAAAGGTCCCCACCAAGGAGCACGAGGTCAACCTGTTATCAGGTACAACATGCAGATGTAGCACTCTCAGCATCTATATTCAACTAGAGGATGGCCAAACAAATCAAAAGACACATTTCTTCCGCATGAACTCCGGAATATGCATCTTCTTCTTATTCTCAAACTTAAACCGATAACATTAAGGTTCAAGAGTACATAATTTTAAGCCTTCCATATATTTTATTTTCAACTCCTGCCATTGACAGTGCTTGTAGGACAAGCGTTTACAGGACAATACAAGTATCTCATGGCCAAGCATTGAAAGAGGACATGCGCTTCATCAGCAACACAAAAAAAGATGTATAGCCATTGTGGTGTTAAGCAAAAGATGAATACCAAGCAATCAAAGTGCCAACCTGCTTTTCGTCCGCTATTTTACATATCTCCTCAAATGCTAGGAAAGAATCGTGCCTCCTTACTTCATCCTTCTCCATGTAACCGAGATGGCAGTCTGTCGCGACAAGCACCCGTAGTGTATTCGAATTATCCTCCCTGGAAAATACATCCATCTATCACCACTAGCTGACACACACTCACTTTTGCTCAAACATGAACCTAAACTAGGGAGTACTTTCTATCAATAAGAATATCATTTTTAACCGAAACAGCTTCACTGTGCAGCCGGGATAGTAGAAAGAGGAACAAAGAGAATAACTCACCTTGGCAGGTCTCCCATGTTGTCCAAAAGCAGCTCCGCAGCAAACTGCAATAAATCACCGAAAGAAGAAGGCTGAAGAGACTCATTCGCTGGAGTCGGGGTGAAAGATGGAGTAAAAAGAAGACTGAAAAGGCTCAATCGCTGGAATCGTTCCATGCCTTACTGGTTACTGCTAAGTGGCAAGATGGTAGAATCAGACAAACTGCTTGGAAATCAATCAGGGTAGCAGGTCGGGCAGAAAGCTGAAAAACAAGTAAGAATAAGGTTCAGAGCTTCTGATTGCTGGCGAAGTAGAAACCCCCCATTCAATTCCGTAGATACAGTCCAATTTTTCTAAGCAAACAAACAGCAAAAAGGATTGGGTTAGCGGAGAAGAAATGCGAACATACGCGGAGGTAGTACAGTAGAACTTACCTCTTTGATTGGCTGCGAAGGAAGCAAACGCTTGGAGAGTGAAGGGGAGAGGGGTTTTGTGATGGCGGGGAATTTCAAAGACCCTGAAGCCCTGACAGTGAAAGAATGAAGGATGTCTGGGATTTTCTCCCGTCACCCTTTACCAATGTGATTAACCCGACCGATCGGTTGAACCCATCAAGGTTGGCTCGGTAACTAACAAATCCAACACAAACATTTAAATTGTAACAAAACGATCACCTATATATTTTTTAAATTGTAACCAACATTTAGTATACAAGTCATGTGATCTCTAAAACACCTAACTAGATCCCAACTCATCAAAACCAAACATCATTATTCGAATTTCCAATTTTCTTTCGGAACATCCGATAAAATTTTGAACGATCCAGATGATTCGAATCTCCAATCCACACAGCCCAACTCACATTTAGCATTTTGTTAATTTACAACATTGTAATTGTTATGATTGTTATCCAATGAGTGTTTGTTAAATTACCTCTAAACTTAAACTTAAATCTAACGTTTAGAGGTGGCAAATGGATTGGATCCATGGATTGGTGGATTCATGGATTGGTGGATTATCCATGAATCCAAATAACATCCTCAACCTTGGACTAATATGTAAAATGTGAAACGTTTATGTACTAAAATGTCATAATGAAAAATTTTAGGTACCAAAACGTAGTTTTCCAATGATATTTTTTGTATAAAATTTAGGAACTAAAATGTAAAATATAGGTACCAAACCTTAATTTGCCATTTGGATCCATGGATCAATCCATGAATCCACCAATCCAAATGGATTTGGATCAAATGGATTGGATTTAAATGAATTGGATTGTGTTGATATTTTTCATGGATTGGATTGGTAATTGCCACCTCTAATTACGTTCATATTATTCCATCGCCATTGTGTATTGACAAAAACAGTCAATTAGAAAGACTTTACACAATTTGAAAGTTAGTCATCTTCAAATTTCATAAACAAATATACATATCGCACTCGTAAAAAAAAAATTCATAAACAAAGAAAAACAAACAAATACAATCATTATGTCAAATTATCGTTTAAGAGGGACGGGGAGAGACCCCGATACCACTTGCAACATCTTCAACATTTTTTTTTATCAAGATATTTGTCCATTTTGAGTCTATCCCACACGATTTTGCTTTTGGGTGCATATCAGAGTGACTTCCCATGAGTCATGCACCCATCCTTGCACTGCTCGCAATCACATCGAGCACTTTAACTTCATGTTGGAAATGTGTATGAATAGCTTTGAAAGCTATAGAGTCTCAAGTGGAAAAACTACCACATTGGTAGTTTTACTTGGTGAAGTGATTATAAAGATAGGAGCCTCTCTCCTAAGGGCATGCCCCTTGGGGTGACCCACTTTTGTGGGAGAGGGAGGACCTAACGGACCACCACACACGCGCGCGCCGTCCGACCGGCCGGTCGGTCGGTCGGTTGGTTGGTTGGTTGGTTGGATGGATGGATGGATGGATCACTAGAGACTATATACATATGTTTTGGAGAAATTCCGAACGAAATTAATTATTTAATAATTAATTATTAATCGGTTACTCTGAGGAATATTCCAAGGGATAATCGATTGAAAAGGAATATTCGAAGGATAATCTCTGCAGGATTTATCCTAACCGACGGTTTTAATTAAGGAAGTAATTATCTTCCTTAATTAATCCGACTTATTCCCCAAGCAAGAGGGTATATTACTAGGGGTTCGGCTCCTATAAATAGCCTCCTCCCCAGCCCCTCTAGACACACAACAACGAGCATAAACACAATAGAGAGAGTGTTCAGAGAGCTCCGGTTTTCGCACAAAACCGCAGTACACAGAGGAGCTGTTTTATCCTGGAGACGACCGGTTGATAGTCTGCCGTGCGCATCGAGGGCAGTGCCGCGAACGTCTTAAAGAAAGCGACCTAGTCCGCGACTCAGCTCCAGATTCGGTATCCTCATCTTGATGTTGTTCCGTTTCTAACAATTTTAAGACGTTCGGCTGCTGCTATGTCGACTGAACAGAACAACATGGCCGGATCTGGTGCTGTCGATATCAATCGACCGTTTCGCTTCGTTGGAGTCAACTTTCGTCGCTGGAAACAAAAGATGGAGTTTTACCTGACGACCAAGAAGTTGGCACACTGCCTCACTAGCATGCCCGTCGAGCTGCCGGAAGAAGCGACCGATGAGGAGAGGACTGCTGCTGCTAAGGAAAGGGAGCATGACTTCCTATGCAAGGGCTACATCCTCAACGGCCTGGCAGACGACCTCTACGACTATTATGCGGACAGCAAGAACACCGCAATGATGGTCTGGGATGCGCTCCAAAAGAAGTACGACACGGAGGAGGCTGGAGCTAAGAAGTATGCTGTCAGCCGCTACCTGCGCTATCAGATGGTGGATGACAAGTCTGTCGAAGTTCAGTCCCACGAACTTCAGAAAATAGCTCACGAGATCGTCTCTGAAGGTATGCCTCTGGACGATCAATTTCAAGTTGCTTGCATTATTGATAAGCTGCCCCCTTCGTGGAAAGATTTTAAGAATATGCTTAGACATAAAACCAAAGAATTTTCACTGGAAAGTTTGATTACTCGCCTAAGGATTGAGGAAGAGTCCCGCAAGCAGGATATGAAAGAAGAGGTGATGGTCGTCACTGCTAAACGACCCACCCCTAGAGCTCTTAAACCTAACCAGAAAGGGTTTAAGGGTAAGAACCAGCAGGTCCGCCCCCAACAGAATGGTGCCTCTCGAGGTAACCAAAGGGTCATGGCCCACACCTCTAAGAATGACCCACCGTTTATCTGCTTTAACTGCGGAAAACCGGGTCATATGGCAAAAAAGTGCAGGAACAAGCATAACCCCGCCGCTGCGGCCAGGGTTAACTTGACAGAAGAGGATTTGGTAGCCATGATCACAGATATGATCGCTGAAGTTAACCTCACCGGTGACTCAGAAGGATGGTGGCTGGATACAGGTGCATCGAAGCATGTATGCAACAATCGTGCTATGTTTAAAACATACGAAGAAGCACCTGCTGACAAGAAAGTGTTGTTGGGAACTACTCACACCACCATGGTTGCTGGTTCTGGTGAAGTGGAGCTGAACTTCACCTCTGGGAAGAAGATGGTGCTCAAAGATGTGTTGCACACTCCAGAGATAAGGAAGAATCTTGTTTCGGGATATCTTCTTAATAAGGCTGGGTTTAATCAATCTATTGGGGCAGACTTGTATACCCTTACTAAGAATGGGAGTTTTGTGGGAAAGGGATATGCATGTAATGGGATGTTCAAGTTGAATGTCGAAATTAATAAGATGAATTCTTCAGTTTACATGGTGTGTGATTTGAATGTTTGGCATGCTCGTCTTTGTCATGTGAACACACGAATTGTGAAGAATTTAAGCAAGCTAGGGCATATCCCTAAACTCTCAATGAATGAATTTGATAAATGTGATTTCTGTAGCCAAGCTAAAATAACGAAAACGCCCCATAAATCTGTGAGTAGAGAATCAGAACCCTTAGATCTGATTCATTCTGATATTTGTGAACTAGATGGGACGTTAACTAGGTCTGGCAAGAGATACTTTATCACTTTCATAGATGATTGCTCTGATTATTGCTTTGTTTATTTGATGAAAAACAAAAGTGAAGCCCTTGACATGTTCAAGGTATTTGTGGTTGAATTCGAAAATCAGTGCAATCGAAAGATAAAAAGACTTAGGAGCGATAGAGGATCAGAGTATGACTCTAATCTCTTCAAGGAATTCTATAGCTCACATGGTATCATTCATGAAACCACGGCACCATATTCACCAGAAATGAATGGTAAAGCTGAGCGGAAAAATAGGACATTTACAGAATTAGTTGTGGCTATTATGCTCAATTCTGGAGCTGCTTCTTCTTGGTGGGGTGATATTTTGTTGACGGTTTGCTATGTGCTAAATCGTCTTCCAAAAACAAATAGAAAAGAATCACCCTATGAGATTTTGAAGAATAAGCCACCTAATCTGTCCTATTTAAGAACGTGGGGCTGTTTGGCCTACGTAAGAATTCCTGATCCTAAGAGGGTTAAGTTGGCCAGTCGAGCATATGAATGTGTCTTCGTTGGCTATGCGGCCAATAGTAAGGCATATAGATTCTATGATTTGAATGCTCGTACTGTAATAGAATCCATTGATGCTGATTTCTTTGAGACACGATTTCCATTTAAAACGAGAAATAGTGGGGGTAATGTACTACCCGCTATTATAGATAACGGAACTAGTGGGGGTGTTGGATCTGAGGATGAACTCAGAAGAAGTAAAAGAGCTAGAATCTCTAAAGATTTTGGTGATGACTTTACTACAGTATACACCCTAGAGGATCCAAAAAGTTTGCAGGAAGCACTAACTTCCATAGATGCAGACTTTTGGAATGAGGCCGTTATAGATGAAATGGAATCGTTAGAGGCTAATAAGACTTGGCATCTAACAGACTTACCTCCTGGCTGCAAAGTCTTAGGTAATAAATGGGTTCTAAAAACGAAACGGAAACCTGATGGTGCAATCGAAAGGTTCCGAGCTCGCCTAGTAGTCAAGGGCTACAGGCAGAGAGAGAATATAGATTTCTTCGACACCTATTCACCAGTATCTAGAATAACATCCATTCGTGTCATGATTGCTCTTGCTGCCTTGAACAATCTCGTGGTACACCAAATGGATGTTAAGACTGCTTTTTTGAACGGTGATCTAGATGAAGAAATCTATATGGAACAACCAGAAGGGTTTGTTATCCCTGAACATGCCTCGAAAGTCTGTAAGTTGGACAAATCATTATATGGTTTGAAACAGGCTCCAAAACAGTGGCATGAGAAGTTTGACACTCTCGTTCTCTCACATGGCTTTAAGGTAAATGAAAGTGACAAGTGTATTTACTGCAAGTCAGAGAATAACACTTGCACTATCATATGTTTGTATGTAGATGACATGTTGATATTTGGCACAAATATTCACGTGGTCAATGAAGCGAAAGCCATGTTAAAAGAGAGCTTTGAGGTGAAAGATCTGGGAGAAGCAAAGTTTATGCTTGGAATCCAGATAACTAGAACAGCAAATGGTTATTCTC